GACTATGGAGCTATCTTCCATCTCTCTCCTTGAAGGAATGAAAAGGGCTCTCTGGGTCAGGAGCTAACGCTCTCACTCTCTGGAAAGTAATTAGCAAGTTTGCGGTGAGCTAGTTCCAGATGTGGTTCACAAAGCCAATGGTGAGCAGCTTGTTGTTTACCAAGAAGTTTGCTAAGTTAAGAGCTCCACAGTGGAAGGAATACGTTGGCCCCCGTGAAAAGTTCTGGGTGTCAGACTTCTTATCATTCCCATTAATCGACTTTACAGGAAAAAGACAACATCTTGTGATTTTCACCTTTCTGGAGACCCAGGCTTGGTCTAGGGATCCCTATGCCAGAGACGTCAGCTGCTGCAACTGCCCCCCTGGGGGTAGCACCTCAGTTGGGATAAGTGGGCACAGGCACTGCAGGGCCTGTGAGTGTAGGTAGCGCTTACCAGCCGGTACCTACAGAAACCACCCCCTCGCCTTTCCGGAGAAAGCAGTGTGAAGAAAGCTGGATTGGCTTTTCTCATCCTTATACAGAAACCCTGACAAATCTCAACCAGACGACATAATTATATACTCCCGTGTTCTGTGAATTGATTTACTTGTAATGCCAAGTGAGTCTAAATATTTAGGTCCACAGTTTTACAAATGGTTCTGAATTGAGTGGGTTGTTGCACATATTATGAGGTATGTCTTGGTGGCTCTTGAAACTATTCAGAATTTGCAAGTTCTTAGGAAATTCTGGTTACATTGGGTTAAAAATGGGACTTGTTTTCTCTCCAATCATGCTTTTTTTCCTTGCGAATGCTTAGCTGAAATTATATTGGAGGAAGAAATTTTGGAGATGTTTTAAACTTCAGGGACTGCTTTAACTGCTGTGTTAAGATAGAATTCGTTGATAAACTGCAGGATCAGGCTCTTCCTTCAAGATCTGAGCTACTGTGAACAGTTTTCTCCTTTGTGATCTCTTGAAACATTTATCCTAAAAAATGTGAAATGATGACTATTTTGTCTTATGTCTGTGCTACTCAATGACTGAGAGTGAAACCTCTTAAAAGCAAAAGATTGGTAGTGGAACAAGCCAAATATCAGGCCAGAACCTGTGGGGTGCTGAATGTTGTCCTGGGTTTGCTTTGTTAGCATTTTTCTAATTCCTGCCATTTCTTTCCTTTCTCCTTCAGGATATGCTTAAGTTCTTGCAGGCTTAAGGATTCCTTCATTTTACTCTGCGCTTCTGGGATCATATCCACCCATATACCTGTCTATCCCTCAAATCTGAGAATCAAAGTCTTAAAAAAACTGTGTCTTCCAAAGTGTCACCATTGAATCCCAAGGGGTTCTCAACACCCTTTCACAGAAAAGCCCCTCAGTTTACAGTACTTTTCATAGTAATTCTCAGATGGTACTTTCTTTCTTCATGTGCTGGCATTTTCACTGATGGTGTAGAAGGGTGGTGGGGGCCTCCTTGCTGGCACAGGGGTTAAAGTCTCAGTACTGTCAAGCTGTCATCAGCCACTGAGACCTGAGTGGGAGCTGACCCACATGGTGCAGCAGACCTCTCTGTGTCACCTGTTGCTGCACTCAGAAATGTATTTCAGTAGATCTACCTGTTTTGCTCCCTACCTCTGTGTCTGGTAAATCTTCTCAATGCCAACACCCCAGTTCCTGTGTATATAAGTAAATAGAACTAAATCCTAAAAAATAAAAAAGAAACAGTTGAAATGTTTCCCAGAGCAGTCATATCATTTTGCATTCCCAGCAGTGATGCATCAGAGTTCCAGTTACTCCATCACCTGATTAGAACTTGGATTGTTGTTTTTTCCCTCAAACCATTCTAAGAATGTAGAGTTATCTCACTGGATTTAAATTGCATTTTCCTAATGACTGTTGATACTGAATTTTTACAGTCCTTGGTTGTCACCTGCATTGTATGTCTTCTTCAGTGAAATAACCCTTCAAATTCTTTCCCCACATTTTAATTGGGTTTGTTTTCTTGTTAAGCTTATATATCATACCAGTCATTGATTATATATGTAATTTGCAAATGTTTTCTCACTGCTTTTTAATTATATATTTTAATATCACATGCTGTATTGTGAAATAAAAAGGTTGACTCCAAGAAAAGGACTTCTGTGATTGAGTTGGAAAGTAAAATAACTTGTTTTTTTCTCTACACATGTTCTCGTTTTTACTCGAATGACATTATTGAGACTTGCATATGTTCTCAGATCTCAAAATTATCTAAAAAATACTTGAGATGTTTTTTCAGAATGAGTGAGGTGAGCCTATCACTTCATGGCAAACAGCTGACAGTATGATAAAATGAGAGCCTTTTTTCCAAACAGAAATTTGGAAAGCTTATTTCATCTGTCATTTCTCTTAAGTTTTTCTAATGATTGCTATTGATACTACTGTGTGATTTTTGGATATTGTGTGTCAAATGAGTCAGTTTTTGAGACTCATTAAACTCATACTTTCAAAATGATCAATGCATGATCTTTTAAAGTCATGTGGGTAAACAATCCATTCAAAATACAAACTAGAGCAATAGGTTGAAATGTAGGAAGGCTTGACTAGCTGCCACTTTTCAGTTGTAGTAGAGTCAAAAGAATATCCACAGTTATCTGACAAGGCTGTTCAAATACTGACTTTTAAAACAATCAGTATGAGACTGGATTTTTATCATATATTTGAACCACAACATATGCCCAAAGACCGGATATAGAAGCAAATGCAAAATTGAGCTGTTTCCTGTTTACCACATCTTAGAGATTTAAGATACATTAAGTATCTTTTCACTAATTCTTTTTGGTTTTAGAAACTGATTTACAAAAACTTAGTAAGTTTGATGTAATGTTTAAATTAATGAATAGATATTTTTTAAATGTGTTTGAATTTGTCATATGGTAAATGGTGATAAAGCTCACATCAGTCTAGGTCCTCAGGTGTCAATAATTTTGAAGAGCGCAAAAAAAAAGGCTGGAGGTCAAACAGTTTATAGGTTGCAACCTCAGAGAACTTAATTCTTACATCATACCTATGTCTTGGTGGTGGAGAATGTGGTTTGTCCTAGTCTGAAGCTAATGAGGTAAGACTTCTAGTTCCCACGAGGGAACTCATATTTACTATATGTAATTGATCAATTTTATATTCTCAAAATGGGCTGTCATTATAGATATCTCTTTACCTTCTATTATCATAGTTGACATTTGACCAAGTACCTCATTTTATGAGATGTATACTTCTTTCACTGCCAAATCAGCTAGAAACTTCAAAAGAGCAAAGATAGTAGATTTATACCCCTCTTTCTTATTTTCCTTTTTATCATGAATGGAATTTTCTCATTAACTCTAAAAGACTCAACTGCTAACAGGAGAGGAACACTGAAAGTGACTTACCTTGCTCATAAGTGGAGTACAATCTACTTTGGTAGAATCATGTCACATTCATTCTGGGCCCCAAAACTAACCTTTTAGGCTGAGATATTCTAAGTCACCTTCATACATTTTGTTAGTGCTTTGTCTTCTGGTGGAAAGAGTGTCAGAGGGAATAGGTTGCAGTTTCTATCTTAAAGCCACTGACAAAAAACACTTGATTAGACATCCAAAAGAATTGGTTATAAGTAATCATCTTTTAGCTTATTAGGAGCATAAAGTTTATACTGGTTGTAAATAAGATTTCATGTGATTATAAAAGGATTCCTTTTTGACCTTTATATATAATGATGTTAGGTTATAGCACTTAAATGGTGTATATTGACTTAGAGGGTGGGGGAAGGAGTTTTTAAAACCTTGTGACTATCTCTAATCTAAAAGCACACTGGATCAAAGCACTCAGTGGCCTGGACTCACTTTCCAAACAAGAACACACTAATCTTGTATATAGCATTGCTTAAATCCAGGAAAGTGTATATAACTAAAGCTAGTAATGTTTGGAAATCAAATGAGGTTTTTTCTTAATGTTTCAGATTAAAATACTTAACCTTTAAAAGACTAGCAATGTAGGCCCTCCCTGGTGGCGCAGCGGGTTAAAGCACAGCACTGAGAATCTAAAGCCGCTTCCGCATGAGTTCGATTCCCGCCTGCCCCGGAGGTGACCACATGGCGTGGCAGACCTCTCCTGACCCGCCCGCTGCTCCCCTCAGCAGTGTACTTCGTCAATCTGCCTGTTCTGCTCCCCACTCTTTCTCTGGTGAATCCTCTCACCCTCCGCATCTCTGGCCTGTACCCCAGTTCTGTATGAATAAATAAATAAATTTTTAAAAAAAAAAAAAAAAAAAAAAGACTAGCAATGTAACAGTAACCCTTCTTCCACTTTTTTTGTACTCCACACCAAGAAAAAAGAAGCTGCCTTTTTTTTTTTTTTAAGATTTATTTATTTATACATACAGAACAGGCCAGAGGTGCAGGGGTGGTGAGAGGTTTCACCAGAGACAGAGTGGGGAGCCGAACAGGCAGATCAATAAAGTACACTGCTAAGGGGAGCAGAGGGTGAGACAGGAGAGGTCTGCCACGCCATGTGGGTCACCTGCGGGGCGGGGGATCGAAGTCGCACCGAAGCAGCAGTCCTAGCTTGCAGTTTAACATCTTAACCCATTGCGCCACCAAGGAGCTGCTTTAGTACTTTTCCATCTTGATATCAATTACTGCTGTGCCAAATAAAAGCATATATAGATAAATGGGCCTTTGGTTAATTGGTGGGATTTCTACTTATACTACTTCAAAGTATAGTCTGTATGGAGAAAAATTAAATTTTGCCCTTCTCAAACAAATTTGATTTTATAACTGCTTAAATAATGGCTTTTTTTTTTCTGAACATCAGTGAAATAATGCTCAGACTTTGAAATTTTGGACTTTGGCATTTGTCTTTGTAGAGTTTTCTGTAAAGACAGAAGTACTTTTGGGGGTGGCGATTGCTAAGCATGGTGTGTGATGGTAAATGTGGACTGCTAAGTCCTGTAGTAACTTGCTTCTAGAATATGATATCTGATTTCTCCCCTTCCCCTTGACTGCAGAGAGGTACAGAAAGCAGTCAACACTGCCCAGGGACTGTTCCAGAGATGGACAGAGCTCCTCCAAGACCCCTCCACAGCAACCCGGGAAGAAATCGATTGGACCACCAACGAGCTGAGAAACAACCTCCGAAGCATAGAGTGGGATCTTGAGGACCTCGATGAAACCATCAATATCTTTTTCTGTGGTGTTTGTGCCATTTGGGGTACACAGGCAGGTAGACACATTTTTACCCAGGTGGCGCAACTATATAAAACTATAATCAGTTGCTACTGTTCTTCTGTGTAGCATGACAAGCATAAAATAATTGCCAGCAAGCTAAGGTAACCAAATTCTTCTGTGGTGCTTGACAGATCCTGCCGTGTAGCACAGTAGTTGTGAACTCAGGCCCTGAATTGGACTGCCAGGGTTCAAGTCTAACGCTCCTGGAAACTGACTTACCTAGTAAAAGGCTGGTTTTTTTCAGAAGTAATGTTGCAATGCGAGGGTCCAGTGAAAAGCATCTTGTATGATGCATCTCCACTTACTAAGAGCAGATCTTTATGCTAAGTCATGCTATTTGCCAGTTCACTGATTCAGTGGAATAACTAGAGACCTGTAAGAGCTGAATTACATGGCCTTTTGTCAACTAGAAATCCCATTTAACCAAAACTAGATGGAAGATCAGCCAGTTTTAGGTTCTAAGTTCTATTTTTTGCTCTAAATAAGCTAAACTTCTAAGAAAACAGCTTCTGTCAGGCCCACTTCTTAGCACAGGTTCACATGCATTTGACATGTGGAGAGCATAATTTCTATGAGTCATAATGTCCTGGCAACCTTTTAAATGATTTAAAGACAAATCTATTCTATAAAATTAGTGGGCCAAAATATGTGAGGGAGTGGGTTCAAAAGCACACTTAGAGGAAGCTACTTCTTCCCTGGAGATGAGAGGGGTACATGATTGGAGAGAAATTGTTGAAGAAGACAAGAATTTTTAATGGATGTTCATTCATTCAGCAAATGTTTACTGAGTGCTATGAATTGGACATTTTGTTAGTTATTGAGAGTGGATGGATGAGCACAACAGTGACCCAACCCTGGTGAAATTAATGGTGGAGGTTGGGGGGAGGGGTAGTAGAGAGAGACAGACATTAATCAAATAATAATACATGCTTTCAGACTAGGAGAAAAAAATGCAGAGAGCCTTGTGAGTATCTGGCGACAGGACCAGGATTGGGGGGGGGGGCGCTCAGGGAAGCTTTGTCATTGAAGCCTTCATTTCTAGAGATTAAGAAGCAGAGTTAGCTTTGTGGCATCAGTGGAAGTAGTTTGTTGTGGCAAATGAAAAACGCTTGGGAATGGTGAAGAGATACCGGCCATGTGAAAACATCCCACGCGGCCTTGACCAGAAACCATGGCCAGTAGCTGCCAGCCACGTGGGGCTGGTCCTAACCTAACATGGCACATTGTCTCTTCCTGCGGCATAAGGATCTTCATGTAGCTGCAGTAGAGAACGTTCGAGAATGATTCATTGTCAAGTTGACCATGTTTTCAGAAAACTTGGCTCCGTTTTCTTGGTTGCCTACCAGACTGTGTGATTTAGCACAATGTTGGTTGTTAGGCTGGTGATGATGTGTTACTTTACCTTGACTTTTTGACCCACGCATAGTTGAAGCAAATCCTAGAAAATTCAACCTTGATGCAACCGAGCTGAGTATAAGAAAAGCCTTCATTACCAGTACGCGGCAAGTTGTCCGGGTAAGGAACTTCTTACTTTGTAAGAAGTAGCCAAGTTTCTTAGAACTCTTTCCATCGTTGTAAACTAATATGCAGATCACTTTTTAGTATGAATTAAATGCCAGTTTTCCACATGTAATTATTCTGACTTAAAAAAATAGAAATCTGTTTTTTGTTTTGTTAAGACAAAATTGATGCCATAAACTTTGGGAAGGTACTTTAATGGTATCATCTTATTTATCCATACTGCTTTTTCCTCCAAATCAGTTGTCTTTTTTCTTTCTTTCTTCTTAGTAGACTGTTTCTGGACAAAAGCAAACAATACTCTTACAGAAACCATTTGGTTTCCTGATTGATTGGTAATCACTTCACATTGTTGAAGAAGAGTGACTTGCTAGGTTTGGATGGCGGCCTCTTCCACCATCTGAATTGCTTCTGGAACTCTAGCAACCCATGTTACTGACATTTCCATATACAACTGCTTGACAGCCTTTCGAGAGTAATGCAGAGATAGCAACCATCTACCAGAGTGTAAAAAAATCAATCCAAGTGAACAGATCTTAATTCTTAAATTATGTAGGTAATATCTGTTAGGAAAAAAACCGAAGACAAAGTATCTAAGTAAAACCTTTATCATTAATATATATTTTGTGTTTTGAAACTATATAGCTAAGCCATTTGATTAACATAACTAGATGTAAGAGAACCAGCTGTCTTTAACATATGTACTAGAAAGCAGCTTCCTTGAATAAAAAGACTTGGGATCATCCCAGTGCTAACATATGGCTTTTTAGGAGTCATCTTAGGCAGGAACCTTGGTATGTGTTTGCCAAAGACTTTGTATCGTGTGATTTCCTTTTGAAATGATTTCAAATGATAGATTATCACCGAACTTTAAATATGCTTGTTCCTTGTTTTATTTGCTAGTTGCCTTTCTATATACATAGATCTAAATTGTTTATAAATAAATCCACATTTTTATGGACAGTAACCTTTGTGGACCCCAGGTGCCTGTCTATATCATGAGCATTTGGGTTGAACTCTTTTTAATTTCTAGCCAGTTCAAAGTACTGCTCTGATAAACAACCCTATTGTGGGCGACACTTTTTTTTTTTTTTTTGATAAGGTTAATAAATCCTCAATTATCTATCTTATAAATAATTTGTAGCTTGCTTTTTAAAAATTGATTTGGAAAAGTTTTCCTTTTCTAAAGAACACTCCTGTAGATATATTTAAATGGTGCCTTGCAATGAGACATATATTCTTGATCTTAATCATTATACTTATTATATCTGCAAAGTAATACTTGTAAATTACACAGATGGTAATGTATTGAAAGTTGTTAGTTGACGTAACTGGAGACTACAGGTTAATTTTCTAATATCTGAAAAGCTTTGTAAAATATATTCTTTGAAGTATTTTAAATCAAGTCTATCCTTTCAAATGTAGCAGTCCTTTTAGTGCTGAGAGGTAAAACCCTCTTCAGTTACATGATCCAACTGAATATTTTAGGACTTTTTATTCATTCTAGTTTATCACCCTCTTTTGAAAACCTGTTCTTACTTGCTAGTGGTTGGCTAGCAACCTGATTTCAGTAGATTTGAATGGAAATTCTGTAAATAAGAAGGAAGTGATAATGATAATTTTAATTTTAAAAGAAGCACCTGTATTAGTTCAATATTACTGCATTTAGCTAGACAATATACAGCTACCTCTGGGCTCCAGATAAAGGAGATTGAAGAGGGATCAGGAAGAGAGCAGATTTGGGAAATGAGATTAAGCTCAGATTAGTAATTCATACACTACAAGTTTATGTGCCATCAATCGGTAATCATGTACTGCTGCTCTAAAAAGCATTCATTTTGATCTGCACTGTATGTGAATATGCTTTCTAATTATTCAGGGAATAAGTGCTATGATATATACCATACTTTTGTTTTTCTTTCCTGTGTTTGGTCTAACTGAAGAAAGAAATCTCCTGTGTGTCTGCATTAATACCCACTGGTTGTGCATTTAGTGAGCCTACCTTATTTAAAAAGTTTGGTTGTGTATAGTTTTCTAAGCACTTTTTAAGTTTGTGCAATTCTTACTAAATTTTGCTGACAGATTTTACCAAAGAAAACAACATAATCCTGTTGTTGTATAAATTTAGCTTTGAGATTTTTGAGGTAATCATTTTTATGTTTATAGAGTCACCTGTATACATCCGAGATGCCCTGTGTGAAGTGTTTGTGTTAGGGGGCTATATTCCAGAGATAACTTTGGTTTACTTAAACAGTGAAAGGATTTGCAGTAAAGGGTGGATGAAAGGAGAGGAGACCTGAGTGCTAGGTTCAGTTGTGAGCTTAATACATTTTTGTTGTGATACATCATATAGCTTCTCAGGACTTCAATTTTTTTTATGAATTAAATGGTCCACCAACATTTCTGACTTTAACTTTCAAAGGCAATCAATACTAGAGGCTTCCCTTCCCTCCAAATTCCAAACTGTTCCAACCCAAGAATTACTTATATTCAGTTATCAGTTGACAGAAATGAGTTTGGTTCATCGGAAAGGGGCAGGTGTCCAGTACGGATGCAGCTCACAGGTTATGAGACCTCTGTGGATGCCCTATGGGAGTCACAGAGTTTACTCATTCAGCTTGAAAGATTGTGAAACGAGATGGAAGCCTCAACAACCAGGATGTTTGTTCTGTTGGCAGATGAACCATATTTTATTGGTTCTGCTTCTTGATTGCTGCTTTCAAATTTCACATGTTAGAACAAAGATGAGTAATTATGCTTCTGGCATGACAAGATCTTAGAAAATGCTTCAGATTATCTAGTGACATAGTTTAAAATTCAGATCAAGTGATCTGTTATATGGGACCAAGAGACTTTTAACCTGTAATGAAAAAAATCAAAAGCCATGGCCCCTTCCTGGTGCATGATGATGTAGCTTCACAAAGCTGTTGGAGACTCTTACAGCTATCAGGTGCGCACACACCTCACATGTCTTTTACTATACAGAAAACCTTAAATTTGGGAACTTTTATTGCACAGTGAACACCCAAGTGTGCTTTGTAGTTCTCTTGGCTTTGACTCTGTGCTAGAGTAATGTCTGTTCTTTACCTCTGCATTGAAAGGACGATTTATCCTTTTAAATGTATTCAGAAAGTCAGCACATTGTATTGATTTAATTGTATTAAAGAGTATGGATGATCCACAGTTTACCATCAGAAACTATCTTAACCATGAACTGTATAGCTGCATCTAATTGAAGCACTTCAGTATTAATGGTAGTTTTGTAGCTGTGTCTTATGTGTGAATTATAAAAAGAAAAATTTAGAAATTTTAAACACATATTTCATTAAAGTAATGTCTGTTCATTAAAGAATGAAAATTTTTATTTATTTATTAATAAAGTTTTCTTATATTTTCTTTTCATACATTGATTTATTTATGCATACAGAACTGAGGTGCAGGCCAGAGGTGCAGGGGCAGTAAGAGGACTCAGTAGAGACAGAGTGGGGAGCAGAACAGGCAGAATGACGAAGTACACTGCTGAGGGGAGCAGCTGGCGGGTCAGGAGAGGTCTGCCACGCCATGTGGGTCACCTTCAGGACAGGGATCTAACTTGCACTGAAGCAGCTGCGGCTAGCTTGCAAGTGCCGCGTTTAATCTGCTGTGCTACCAGGGAGGGCCCTTATTTTATTTTTTATGTCATTCTTCATTTTCTGCATCTCAATTGTAATCCCTGTGGACTTCCCACCACCAATTCATCCCTGTGCCTGCAGCATAGTTCCGTGCACTCTTACCATCCCAGTTTTGATCCCATTCTCCCTCAGACCCCCATAAAATGTCTCTGGTTTATAGTTGTTCGTTGTTTTCATTTTTAGTTTATTATATTTGTTTCTCTTTTTTCCCCCGATCCCTTACACTCGTGCTATGAGGGAAACCATCGGTATTTTTCTTTCTGGCTTATTTCACTAAGTATGATCCCTTCCAGCTCCATCCATGTTGCTGCAAAAGGCAATATATACTTGCTATACATTTAAATAATTTAAATGTACTCTATTTCTGAGAAATAACCACTATTAACAGTTCCCCCCTCCCAGCCATTTTATGGACATTGAAAGAAATGTTATTCTGTATGTTTTTTTTTATAAAAAAATAGAGTATTATAGGCTGGTATCAATTTAAGTACATCTAGAACAGACTATCCAATAGAAATTAATTATTTTTATTTTCTGGTAGTAAAAAAGTAAGACAGGTAAATTAAACATGTAATTAATATAAAAATATTAACAAGATATTTCAAAAATTCTTAACTTTTGTACTAAATCTGTTATATGTCTTAATCATATCTCAACTCTGTTCTGAAAATTTCATGGAGATTGATTTGATTTGATCAGTGGTTAGAGTTAATAAGATGGATAGTCAGAAAAGTAGATTTGCAGCCCCAACATTTTCTAGACATACTTTAAATTCTTGGAATAACTGACTTTAAATCTCAATTAATTAAAATTACATCAAAACATTTACTTTCTGGGTTGTCCTGACTCCATTTCCGGAGCTGGTTGGCTGGTAGCTACTGTGTTAGACGCAGTAGCTGCAAGTCATCCTTCTTTAATGGCCGAGGCATTTATGTGAGTAAGCGGTTGTGTCTGTTTACTTTGTTGTTGACAACTGTGACTCACTCTTCTGTACTAGTGATACAGAAAAGACAAGTCCCTCTTGGAGTGATTTCAGTCATTTTCCCAAATTTGTACAGTTATTAAACATAGCCATGTCTGATCCCAGACCTTTGACATGAAAGACATGTTCTCAGTCTGACTCTGTTAGAGTTTGTTTAATCATTAATGCTACTGATAGATGATTAGGTGGTCATCAAATTTTGGTGATTGCCAATCTTTGTGATCACCTTTGCATACCCTAGATAATTTGCTTAAGTAGTGAAGAGTCCAATAAAAATGTGCATATTAAATATTGGTTAATATTTTCAAAGTAGCCTACCAAAAGTTATTAATTATACTTCTAATCACTGTCAGATTCTGTACTTATTGATTTCTTCTCACCAGGACTTACAGTCTTTTCCATTAATCTCAGTGAGAAAAATCTCTCTTAACCTGTATTTCTTTGATGAATGTGGGTTAATGTACCTTCGCATGATTGATCATTTGTGTTTTTCTCTGAATTGTTTCCTCACTAAACACTCTGCATAAACATAACGTCTAGTGTGTTACACTATGTGTACGGGTTTACTGTCCCTTCCTATTCGCATGTTTGAGCCTGCTGCTTATTTTCTTCTCTTTCATATTATACATAACACTACTATGTATATCCTTGCTGATCTGTTTGGATATATATTTTATATTATTTACTTAAAATAATTTGGTCTTAGTGAATTTACTGCACTAAGGCAGAGAATTTATTGAGGTTCTTGATAGAGAACCCACCAAAGGGTTGGTCCAGTTTGCCTTCCATTCATTGTTTGGGAACTGCCAGGTTTTTTGTTTGTTTGTTTTTTGATGAAGTTATGCTCTTTTTTTTTTTTTTAATAATAGTTTATTTTTACATCACTTTGTGCCTTTTCCCATCTCAGTTGTAATCCCTGTGGGCTTCCCATCACCAAATCACCTGTGTGCCATTACCATAGCCCAGTGCACTTCCCTCCTCCCACCATTTTTGATCCCATTTCCCCATTCCACCACTGTGAAATATCTCTGGTGTATAGTTGTTCATTATTATTATTATTTTCTCACCTGGTCCATTATACTCCTGCTATGAGTGAAACCATCCGGTATTTTTCCTTTTCTTTCTGGCTTATTTCATTAAGCATGATCTTTTCCAGCTCCATCCATGTTGCTGCAAAAGACATGTGTTTATTTTTTTTGGGTGGCTAAGTAATATTCCATTGTGTATATGTACCACATCTTTTTTTAAAAAAAAT